GGCAATAGGACGTTTTTAGAAAAATGAAGTACAATTGATTTATAATATTGTGTGAGTTTCAGGTATATACAGCAAAATGACTCTGTTACGTGTGTATATATACACACACATATATGCTTTTATTTCCATTCTTTTCTTACGGATTATTATAAGATATTGAATATAGTGCCCTACAGTAAATCCTGTTTCTCTGCTTTATGTATGGTAGTGATTATTTGTTAATCCCATACTCCTAATTTATCCTTCCACCTGCTTTCCTCTTTGGTAACCATAAGCTTGTTTTCCATGTCTGTGAGTCTGTTTCTGTTTTGTGAATGTTAACAAATTTATTTGTACTATTTTTTAGATTCCACATACAGGTGGGATATTTGTCTTGTCTGACAATTCATTTGTATGATGATCTCTAAGTCTCTCCATGCTGCTGCAAACAGCAATGTGTCATTCTTTCTTACGGCTGAGTAGTATTCCATTGTGTATTTGTACCACATCTTTTTTACCCATTCATCTGTTAATGGATATATAGATTGCTTCCATGTCTTGGTTACTGCAAAAAGTGCTGCTATGAACATTGGGCTACGACTATAGCTTTTAAAATCGGAGTTTTTGTCTTTTCCAGATATATACCCAAGAGTGGAATTGCTGGGTCATGTGGTAACTCTATTTTTAGCTTTTTAAGGAACCTCCATACTGCTCTCCATAGAGGCTGCACCAGTTTCCATCCCCACCAGTAGTGAAGGTGTATTCCTTCTTCTCCGCCTCTTTTCCAACATTTATTATCTGCAGATTTTTTAATGTTGGCCATTCTTACTGGTGTGAAGTGAGACTTCATTGTAGTTTTGATTTGCATTTTTTAAAATAATTAACAATATTGAGCATCTCTTTATGTTCCTGTTGGCCATCTGTATGTCTACTTTGGAGAAATATCTGTTTAAGTCTTCTGCCCATTTTTTGATTGAGTTGTTTGGTTTTTCTGTTATATTGATGAGCTGTTTGTTTTCATATTTTGGAAATTAAACCTCTGTCAGTTGCATCATTTGCAAATATTTTCTCCCAGTTCATAGGTTCTCTTTTCATGTTGTTTATGGTTTCCTTTGCTGTGCAAAAGCTTACAAGTTTGATTAGGTCCCATTTGTTTATTTTTGCTTTCATTTCTTTTGCCTTAGGGGAGTGATCTGAGAAAATACTGCTATGATTTATGGCAGAGAGTGTTTTGTTTAGGTTCTCTTCTAGGTGTTTCATGGTGTCATATCTTATCTTTAAGCATTCTTGAGTTTATTTTTGTGTTTGGTGTGAGGGTGTGTTCTAATGTCATTGATTTACATGCAGCTGTCCAGCTTTCCCACTACCACTTGCTGAAGAGACTGTCTTTTCTCCATTATATAATCTTGCCTCCTTTTTAGAAGATTGATTGACCAAAGGTGTGTGGGTTTATTTCTGGGCTGTCTATTAACAGCGCTTTTCTTCTGTCCCACAATTTCAGAATTAGCCCCTTCTCAGTACATTCCTCTGTGATGGCACTTTCCACTCTGAAGACCTGCTTAATTATCAGTCTGCCCGACTATACTCTACCCCTCTTTGGACAGATATTTATTCACCTTTGTATCTGCAGTACTTTGGTCTGATACATTGTAGGACTACCATTAAAGTTTATTAAGTCAAAATATTTTGTTTAAATGGATCAAAATTTCTGTTCATGTCACAGAATCTCACCACACAGATGTACTTCTTCTTTTAAAATACAATCTTATACTCATTATTTTCTCCCGTGATTCCTAATGCCCACAGTAAAATGTCAGCAGTGCTCAACATCAGTTTAATCTATATCAAGATTGGAAAAGTCATTCAACAAAGCACTCCCTACAAGGATTCAGGCAGTTGGAGTAGAAACTGAATGTAAAATTAAGTCAGCAAAGATGAAAATTTATCCCCATTGAAACTGATAGCCATAATCTTAAATGTTTTATTGAACCAATCTCCTAGACATTTTAAAATGCAACACTGGAATTTTTAATGCATAATGTCTCTCTGCTTATGACACCATAATGGTAGATGTATATCATATACATTTGTCAAAACGCAAAGAATATATTCAACACCGAAAGTGAACCTCAACGTAAACTAAGGATTTGGGGTAACAATGATGTGTCAACGTACGCTTATCATTGATTGTGTAACAAATACACCACTCTGATGTGAGATATTGATGGCGGGGAAGACTGCGGGGGAGGTGGGGGTGGAAGGACTATGTGGGAACTCTGTACATTCAGTTCTATTTTACTGTAAAGCTCCAAAAATAAAGCATTAATCTTTTTTAAAAAGATAACATGAAGTATTCCTTTTCTTAGGACTGCAATCTGGTTACTTAAGCACAGTTTCACAGAGGAAATATACAGACAAGATCATGTTTGTGAGAGCCCCTGTTTATCCTATTGACTTTTGTTAAATCCTCTACAATTTCAGCCAAAGTTATTGATTAAGTAAAGATGCTATTTGTCATTTCTTAATAGATTTCACAAAAAGGAGCCAGACAGCAACACGTGGTATGATGGATAGGAGACTTCGGTGCCATGCCATGGACCATCAGCCCTGCTGACAACAGTTCCTCTGGATCTGCCCAGCCCTGGTACACACAGGCTCTGCATGTGCTGCCAAGCAGCCTTTGAAACCACAGCTACATCTGTGTGCCACTGAAGTGGCTTCAACAGCCCACTGTGAATTTCAGAGGGATTTCCCCCCTCCCCCCCAATCAGGAGTTAAGTTCTCCATTTGGGCTTCAAAGCACACAATTGTAACTGCATGAAAATGCTTGAGCTTGAAAGTCTATATCAAGGTAGCAAAAGATTGGTTCTTTAAGGAATCACTAATATGTAAGTAAGAGAGACAAATATTTGTTTTCTCTCTCATACCAGAGCTTCCTAACATGCTGTCAAGAGAACATTATTTGTGCAAACTATTTCCATACTTACTGAGAGTTCAGTTCTCAAAAATGCTAGGACACTGCTGCACACCACCCACCTCCATTCAGACGGATAAATGTGCATTAACATACTAAACGTTCTCAGAAGGTCAGCGGTGGTCAATTTTAAAAGTTTATTCAGCTGTAACTCAACATTTCCCAAACTTCTGTGCTTCCAGAACCATTGCTACAGCTGGTATCATAGTTCTAATAATACTTATTAACACCCAAAGGAATTACTGTTACAGAAACATGCTTTGCAAATTATTAGTATATTTTGATAGCAATAATAGTGGCCTTTAAAAATAAACTTTAAATCACTGTTCTGTAACATACCGTGTCCACAATTATCTAGAGGAATGAGAGGTTATTAAATAAATAAACATGAGCAATGCTGAAGATTTTAACTGAAAAGTAACTATGGACTGAACTACAAGAAGCACACAAATGAATGCCTTTATGTCACCCATCTCTGAACTTCATCATTTTTGTCTGGGTAACTTCCAAAGAAGCCCCCTTATTTTACTAGTTCTCTTCCTAAATGTATCACATTATCTTTTGAACATCAAATGTTAAGTACATTTTCAAATATAAATGTGATTCCTTCAAATATTTTTTATCCTAATGACAGAACTAACATAGTAAGAGTAACACTCAATTCCCTTTTGTCAACTATACCTAATACCTTCAGAAACTTCTCTAAGTAAAATTCGTTGTCTTTTCAGGGGTAAAATATAAACTGGACACTCCATAAATAAATCGCACTATATATACAAACTCTGTAAGAGCTTATATTGAACCAACCCCTCTTCCCTAATTAGTCATTAGTCATCTGGTTTCAGGAGACCCCAGTTCAATTTCTGGGTTGAGAAGATCCGCTAGAGAAGGAATAGGCTACCCACTCCAGTATTCTTGGGCTTCCCTTGTGGTTCAGCTGCTAAAGAATCTGCCTACAATGTGGGAGACCTGGGTTTGATCTCTGGATTGGGAAGATCCCCTGGAGAAGGAGAAGGCTACCCACTCCCGTATTCTGACCTAGAGAATTCCATGGACTGTATAGTCCATGGGGTCACAAAGAGTTGGACACAACTGAGCGAGTTTCATTTTCTTGGGGTTTTATTTTAATTCTTGATTTTTATTAAAGCTAGACTATATCTCTCCAGAGATACTGTCAAAATTCAGAAGATCATCATCTAAAAATTATATTATTGACCTAGCCAAATATATTCTTATTTTTATCATGAGCAGCTTTTATCCTGATACTGTGCAATTCTTTTGTATCAGTATATTTGCATATTATGTCATATTTCATGTTAATGATTCTTTTGTTTGCAGTTTTTTTAAATTTTACTTTATTCTTATCCAAAGCAGTAGTATACAAAAAACTCAGTTTGATATATTATTTATTTTTTTAATTAAATATTAAAATTCATGTGTTCCTTAAGATCATCCTGTATGTCATGAGTAGAATGTCTAGCACACATCTTGGAAAACACAGAATGGAAATTTCTTGCCACGGAAATAAGGAATGAGATGTGAAGTAGGGAAAAGTTAGGATAACTTCTCATAACTCTCCTTCCTACCAGATCTATGCACTGCACAAATAAACTAAAAAGTATTTCTATACACTGCTTTCTGAAAGAAAAAAAAAAGTCTTTTAAAATATTGTGATCAAATGAATTTATAGTCAAGGACTATCCCAATCATGGAGGGGACCCATCTCTAGGCTCCATGATACAGTAAATCCACCAAATGAAACGTTTCATTGAAACATGCAGTCTTTATGAAAAAACAAGCATCCTCCAGAACCAAAGAGTGATTTAACATGTGGTATGTGTGTGTGCCTCTGCAGGTCTAATTTTCTTTCTTTCTGTTTAATCAAGTGACCTAGTCTCATCTGGTTAGGTTTCAACCGCAAACATCACTGTATGCTCATTTTTTTTCAAGATACACGTCACAACACACCAAGAAAGGGGGAACTTCCAGCGTCTGTGGCAACATCACTTGATAAACAGACTTGTCTGCACAGCGAGGGCCTGTGAGCCGTCACTATATAAAGCGGCAGAGACGCGGACTCACAGACATTTGCCTCTGGAGACGATGCGAGCAGCAGCCATCTCCACATCAAGGTTAGACATAATGCCAGGCATGTTCCTCTCTGCCAACCCAAAGGAACTGAAAGGAACTGATCATTCACTTCTAGACGACAAAACGCAGAAAAAGAGACCCAAGACTTTGTAAGTTCCTTCACTTTGTGAATTTGGACTTAGGTGATCTTTAATGGCAGAACAATTGAAAATGAATGGAAGAAAATATGAGCCTTTTTAGTTTAGCTAAATCAGAGCAAGGACCTCTGTGAATTTGGTTGTATATTTGGTTGTATTTAAAAGTGAATCATGCTAGGCTGTTAAATGAAATGGGAATTCTTCCAGACTTTGGCTCATAAACAGTGGCTCACTCTTTAACAAAGTAATATGTTGTATCAGCTTTTTTTATTATGACCTGATTCCTTAGAGAAGTTTACTTCATGTTCTTTTTAATAAAAGGTATTGTACTGAAGAAACATGACTATTTACTTTTGTGTCTTTTGTAGTGGAATGGATGTGAAAGCATACCTGAGATCTATGATCCCACATCTGGAATCTGGAATGAAGCCTTCCAAGTCCAAGGACCTGTAAGTATACTAATACATGGAACTGTCACTGTATAAGCAGCCTATGCATTAGCTCTATATTCTAACATGACAGTAATACTAATATAATGGACTTCATTTCTTTTAAGTAACAAGCCTAATAAGATTAAGCTACATTAGTACCAATGTAAATTAAATACAAATGTGCATGCATATATTTGCTATTTATTATACTGTTGGGGTATATTTGGATATTTTTCACATTTTATTGGCAGATACTTTCATAACAATAGTAATTCTAAGTGAATTATTGTTTTCTTATAGATAAATTTTAATAAAATTTATTAGTCATAGAGTCTTAGTTGGGAAATTATCAAAATGCAGCAGCATTCTAACTTCATCTGTGCTTACACACAAAAATACTAATGGATGTAAATATTGCCCCCCTTGCAGGCTCTCTGCTGATGAAGTGAAGCAGTGGTCTGAATCCCTGGAGAAACTTCTTGCCAACCAAAGTAAGTGCAGATTCACTGTCGGATATCTCTGGCTTTATCTCAGTGTGCAGACAGACTGGACAGACTCATTAAAATCGAGTGCTGTGGGTGGAGGCGTGTGGAACACCGTCCTCTAACAGTGGAGCAGCATTGACAGCTTCAGCACGTTACGCCTCCCTGAGGGGTCACGTCATCTCAGCGCTCAGCGCTGCTGCCACCCTTCAGAAAAATGTGCCAAGGCAGCTAGTAACTTCCAGGGGTCGTTATAGTAGCAAAATTTAAAATCAGGCTGGGTCTCTGGAGTTTAAAGTTTTAAAAAGTCAATTAAACATCTCAACCACTATTTTCAAAGCTACCTAAAGGATGTGTTTTTGTACCATGGGATATAAGGAGCAGGATTCACTCAGTCCAATAATTATATTCTCCATTCACACATGCACTAAATCATTCATTCAGCCCACTTTTATGTGCGGGCATTTTTAGAAGCAACAAGGATTCAAAAGCAAAAGCAGTGTCTTGCTGCCTTGAAGGTGGTTGAGACACATGGCATATAATTGCATTATATAAAACATGACACATTATAACATAGATATGATAACAAAAGACTCTTTAAACCACAGTCTTGTAGGGAGTTTCTGATGAAGAAGGTGAATGAAATCAGCTTGCCTTAACCCTAATAATAGACACGGGATCCTGTTGAAATAGGACCTCAGTCAGGGACATAGACGGGCAGCTTTTCCCTACCCACGGAGCTAATCCTCTTCTTCCAAACACTCTCACATAGGGATCAAGTAGTTCAGTCTGGTTCATCTGCTTATTATCTGCCTTAGTTTACAATTCAGAAAAACAAACAATGCTATAGAAATGGCCCATTGAAAGGCCTCAGCAATATGATCAGTACAGCATACATATGTAACATACAGGCCTCACATCTTCTGACTTATGTGAGTTGGATGGAGAAATTATATTTGTTAATGATTAGCATGCAATCAATGCCTTTTGTCAATATTTTATGCCCTAAAATACTCTGCATTCTGGCTGGGTTGGTAGCATAAGAGATTGTTTTTTAATCTGCAGAGAAGAATTTTAATTTAATAAGCAGATGGAAATAAAGCACAGTTTTATAGCCACCACTAAGCAGTTGTGTGACTGTGACAAGTGAATCTGACCACAGATAAACTATAAATGAAGGGATCTCTAAGGCTGTCTACAAATAGTAATTTCAGCAGGAACCAACTCTCTCCTTTGTACACAGAGAATATGCTAGTATTTTTCTTGTAAAATTTCTCCAAGTTATTCATTTATTGGCTCAATTAATTTATCTCACCCCCTCACCCTGTCTTTTTAGCTGGTCAAGACGTCTTTGGAAATTTCCTGAAGTCTGAGTTCAGTGAGGAGAATATTGAGTTCTGGCTGGCTTGTGAAGACTATAAAAAAACAAAGTCTGATCTTTTGCATTGCAAAGCGGAGAAAATCTATAAGGCATTTGTGCAGTCAGATGCTGCCAAACAAGTGAGTATTTAGTTTATTACCATTAGCTTATATGTAAAGGAATTTCAATACAGGATAACATTCAACATAGTTGCAAAATGAAATCCTTTCTGAGCATCACGATTTTCACTGCTGTATATCTAAGTGTATTTCCATAGTTCAGTGCAATGATAATCTAATTTTCTATATCTGTGAAAAGATTAAATGAAAGATTGGTTTTGTAAAACAAGCTAACTTGATAGGGTGGGGTAAGGAGTACTGGTGACACTTACCAGGACTGTGTGTCAGGGGGTCCTGGGTGAGCTGGCTAGGAAAAGAAGGGATTAGTGCAATACATGGGTTACAGCAGCAGAAGTATTTCCAGTTAGAAGTAATGCCCACTTCCTGCTAAATATTTCTGGTTCAAGCATCCTCTGCTCCTGTAAATGTGCACATCACTTTTTTGATGCATGTCTCACCTTATATAAATATTTAAGAGAGACCATAAGTTAATTTGGAACAAAGATATCTCTGCCTCTTTGTGATATTTCTTTTTAACTCCTCCACACCTAGCATAAGGTATGTTTAGAATAGGCATGCAAAAGATATTTGAGCTGACTTAAATAAGAGTTTAGAGTCACCATTCCCAGATAGTTTGAAAGCAACAGTAACATCATAAAATATGCAACAAACGAGAAGTGTATATGAACTAATGGGGATTTCTTTTTTAGATCAATATTGACTTCCGCACTCGAGAATCTACAGCCAAGAAGATTAAAGCACCAACACCCACGTCTTTTGATGAAGCCCAAAAAATCATATATACTCTTATGGAAAAGGACTCGTATCCCAGGTTCCTCAAATCAAATATATACTTAAATCTTCTGAATGACCTTCAGGCTAATAGTCTAAAGTGACTGGTTCCTGGCTGGAGGGAATTAGTGATGGTATCAAGTACAGAAGGAAGGCAAGAGGATGGCTCCCTGGGGGAACACTTTGGCCTTTTTGGATGACTCACAGGCCCAAGGGAAGAACCCATGACTCAAAACAGATTAACATGGAAGCTATCCAGGCTCAGGGCTGAAGAAGTGTGAGGTGAAAATTTAGCGATGGTAGAAGGAAGGAGATGCTGTGGTACTGTCATAAAATAAAGTGGACCTGCGTATTAGAACATCCCTCAGCACCAAGAAGGCCGGGTAACACTCGCCACACAGAAACTGTGAATAAATGTTTTGAAACTGATTAAAACATGCTGTAAGCTTCAAGGTCAAGTGGTATTTATGCTGCATAGTGTTATACAAAGACTGGATTGAGCTGCTGAAATTTCTTTTACTTGGATGACTATTTGAAAAGTCTGTGTTTCAGAATCTCCATTGCTGTTGTAGACAAAGTTTTTCAGTGTTGTTTGTTTGATTGTTTTGGGGGCTTGAAAGAAATGAAGATGAGAACAACATATTTAACTTAAGCTATTGCCTTAAAGCTGGAAAGTCAGGGTATATTTGTAAATTAAATTATCACAGTGTCAATAATAAATGTGTTTTGTATTAAAAATACAGAAACAATTTCTGTTTATATTTCCTTGCCATCTTTAAAATCTGGCATTTATTTTTCAGATTCAACAAAAATTTAAGAGTCTTCTACTTTCTTTCACCTCTTCAACATCAAAAACTATCGTCCAATTAATTTATATTATATGTATTATGTGCATGTATTGGACAGAATTCATTAGTCTTCTCTCTTATATCACAATGTATAAAGATCAAACAAATATAATATGCTCTCATACAGTCAAGCTTCGAACTGATGAGAAACAGAAGTCTTTTAAAAAGGGATGGGAATTTTATTTCAAGAAGTCACCTAATTAACAACTAGTAGTTTATTATGTTTTTAAGCTTATAAAAATCAGATGTATTTTCTCATTTAATGTTTATAGCAATCCTATGAAAGCAGCGACTAGTAAGATTAAATAGCTATTTCCCAAATTTAACTATTAAAATTACCTAGGATGTTAAAAAACAAAACACCAATTTCAGGACCCTACTCCAGACTGACTGACTGAATCAGAATCCCCAAGGTAGAGAATTTATATTTTAAGAGGAAATTTCAGGTGGTTCTGAAGATGCTCTGGTTATCCAGGGTCAGGAATCCTGGGGTTAAGAGAGAGTCCTAAAGCCTGGAATTATACATAAACCTTCTGACCACACCATTTGTGCTCCTTCTATTGCACAACACTGCCCCCCACTGGCCAGAAGACATTTCCTAAATCCTCAAGTCTTCAGCAGTCCTAGGTGTTACCTAAGTAGGAACATAAAACTGCTCTGTAGGATCACCTACATAAAGATAATCAAGATGATGCATAGCCCAGCATACCCTGTAAAGTTGTATCTTCCCATGCACCTGTATCCCACATATTACTGAATCATCAGCCATCCACACAGCACAATGTAATACTGTGGACATTCTCAGTACACACTAGGTTGTCATCAGGCACATAGCAATGGCGCAATATGTAGATGGCTTTTAAAAGTACTATTCCTGAATTTCCATGGGACAATCCAAATTGTCTCTACCTTAACTTAATTCCATGATTTAGAAGCTAGAACCATCATAAAAGAGGTTTAGGAGAGAAGTCCAGTTTCATCACCATCATCAGGTATTTTCTTTCCCTCACTCATTCCATCACCAAGTTCCCTCAGTTATCCTTCTATAATCTATGTGAGCAGTTGGCATGTCACTTGCTCTTTTTCTGTGCCCCCTGTGTTAAGATGGGATCTCACTGCTTGCTCATTCATGTGATTTGTTTCCTTTCTTCCGGACTCTTCTTTTCAATCCATCTTCTGAATAGCCACAGACATCACTTTCTGAGACTCAGATCTTGCCATGTCATTTCCCATGACATACAATATAAAGTATAAATTTCACTTTCTAGACTTAAAAACACTCCCAGTGAGATCTTCAAGGTATAATTTGCATGACTCCCCTCTAGGTATCCTTCCTACTTGACATCACTCTGCATTAATTGTCTTTTTTGAAGAAGCCTTCATCTTCACTTTCTTTGGTTAGTCTACTATCTCTACAAATGCTTTTTCCTACCTCCTTCTAATTTTCAAAATCCAATGGATTCTTCAAGGCACAGGTAGAATTACTCTTCCATAAAGGCTTTCTAACACTTTATATCACTATATAGTTATTTTCAATGTCTACTGGAGGTGACCTGAGTCTATATAAACACGAAACACTCTGTACCTATTTCTAGCACTGCTGTCATGTTAAATAGTTCAGGCCCTTCAAACTGTGAGGAATTAGAAGTGCCACTGCCTAATACACACACTGGTCATAAAATATATGGTTCTGGTCTTTCTCTTCATAAGATGTCAGGTTAAAGAGCCATCCGATTTTTGGACAGATAATCAAAACAAACATGTAAGACATTTCTTCATTTTCAAAATGACAAAAAAATGTCACCATGGCTGCAGAGATTCAAGAGACTGCAAAAAACTTGAAAAGATTTCTTTTCATTGGCATTGCTTACTATGGTGTGGATGTTTTATGAAATCATTTACAGAAATATGATTAGAGAAATCTGATCCACTCACTCCATCTGAAATGCTCAGCTAATANTGTTGGCAAAGTAATGCCTCTGCTCTTTAATATGCTGCCTAGGTTGGTCATAACTTTCCTTCCAAGGAGTAAGCGTCTTTTAATTTCATGGCTGCACATAGGATAAAACTAAAGTTCAAATTTCTTTTACTTTGTGTGCAAACACAGGCTAGATTGGCTATATTAATAGGAGTCTCTTGATGATTTGTCATTAAAAGTAAGAAATTCTGACATATGTGAAGGGAAAAATAGAGTAAAAGCTGATTTAAACTACCACAGATATAAATAAATTTTGTTAGTACACAGAATTAGAGAATTTCCTCAAGACTTTATGAAATCCAGTCTTTAGAACAACAACAAAATATACTGCCCAACTGCAGAAATACCATTACCTTTCTTGTTGAGACCAGTATCTTAAAAGTGTTACTGAAGCAAACTAGGATCCATTCACCCAACACACATCAAAACCAATCTACTGACCGTAGGCTGTAATGAATCTACTGACAGCAGGCTGTGGTGAATCTACGGACACCAGGCTGTGGTGAATCTACAGACACCAGGTTGTGGTTTTTATCCAGGCATCCAACATGGGACCAAGCAAGGAGAATAGGCTGAAGAGACTCAAATTCCGCAGTGGCTTTCAGGGAAGGGTCTTGAAGTCAGTGTTAGGGTGAGGATTGCAGGGTGTCTGACCAGCTCATGGACATTCTTCTGATTGGCTGGTGGTGAGGTAACAGGTCGTAGTTTGGGAGTCAACGTCTCAACTTTCTGGTTCCAATCAGTCTGGGGTCTACCTGCTTGTGAGTAGCATGCAGTTAATTTCTTGTACCTGGTGGGGGTTTTAGTATCTGCAAAACAACTTGAGGACATGGCGGCTCATAATATTATCTACAGCCCCTAAGGAGAGAAATAAAGGTTCGTGACTCTGTTTTATGGCTAAAATACCATTATTTTATCTTGCTTGACTGTTTTCCTTTCTCTATTTTCTCACTTCTCTGATTCAATGTGCTCTTTGGAACTCAAGGAAGACCTAGGAGGCTAAAGGTTTTCTACAAACAAGAGACTGGGGACATAAGGGAGGGGGGTCTACTTCAGGAAACCCTGAAAGGTCCTGCTCAGTTTCAAAAGATAAAAATGTATCATTCCAATGGCAAAATTTTGCATCTTAGTCAGCCCCTAATCTAAGTGAAACTTGTCTACAAATAAGTCAGTGGCAAAATATAGAACCTTCTATGGATGTTTCTATATAGTCAGTATTTAACTGGGTATGTACCTCTCAGTGGTTCATTTCACTTGAAATTTGAAAACAGTGCAAAAGGAAAATGAAAGAGAGGGAGGGAGAGACAGATCGAGAGAGGAAATGAATTGGCTGAGTGTCTTAAATGTTTATATTACCTTACATCTCATTTGAAAACCTGACTGCCCTGAAATGCCACACATATTTTATCTTCTCAAATTGAAATTTAAGGCCAAAAGTGATTGTGCTACAGTTTAGAATTGTCTATATTATTTTAAAACTGCCATAATTGATGAAAGATTAGGTTAAGAATTCCAATCCAATCCCAAAAGAACCAAATTTATAAACCCATGTGGATCTCGCCTTAATCTGGAATGTTGCCATTTGGGGAAGATCTGTGGCAGGAGTCTTGATGATTGAAAAAGAAGTCAAGTTCCCAGGATTAGGGAGCTGTTTGTTTTACATAAGAAGGCACGGTGCACTGTAAGCACGTGTCTTAGACATGGAACACTGTTGGTCATATCATTACACTTCAGAATTAAATGTCCTTACCATCCTTCCTCCCTCTCCTATCGATCTCCAAGCAGAGTCAGAGGTCCAGGATCCATGTAGCTGAGTATGCACAATCTCTAAGAGTTTAGGGACCATCCACACAGACACTCTCCATGTCTCTCAGAGAAAAACCAGCCTCCTAGTTCTCAAGTGAAAAAACATAAGCCTTCTAAAAAGTTCTTTAACTGCACATTTTCTTAGCAAAAAATAGTTACTCAAATAGTAATACTTTAAAATAGACATCAGATTGGTTCATCCAGGAAAAGATTTTGGTTTGTTCTGTATTTAATATGCACTTTTACTTGTTATGATATTAGCTGGCTCATTTCTCCATCTTTTTCAGAGGAAAGGGATAATTGGGTTGGATCTTGAAGAATAAATAAACCCCATCCAGGGAAGAAAGAAGGTGAGGACATTTCAGGAAATAGTCTATGAAAAGGTCAGGAAATAAGAAAAAATAATACTCTGTATTCAGCAACTGTGATTTATTTAGTGTGGGTGGAATATATGGGGGCTGCAAGAGGATAAATGGAAGAGCAGAGAAGGTAGTTTAGGGCATATTCTGAAAAGAAACACAGTCATTCCAGAGTGTGAGTTTTATCCTTTATATGATAGGTCACCAATGAAGTTTGAGGAAATGAGCAAAAGACAGAACTGTTTGCACTGACTTACAAATTACTTGCTGAGCCCACATCAGAACTCTCTGGGATAACCACTCTTAACCTCATCTTATTGATCAACAAATGTAGAACCAAAAAGGTGAACAAATTTATCTAAGGGCACAGAACCAGTGAGTAGCAGACCCAGGGTTTGAATCCAAGTATGTGTGACTTAGGAACTACACAACAACAACAACAAATGCGTGTTTCCAAAGACTCTGCACCCTGTCATGCTCCTTCCTGCAAGTGACATGATTACTTTGTGTTTTAAAAGCAAATTCCGGATTTAGTGTGGAAGACAATTACAAAGGAAGACATAACTCAGGAAGAAAAGCCACATAGGAAGCAGTTTTGTAGCCCAGCAAGGGAGAATCAGGGCAGAAATCAAGGCAATGGGAAGAAGAGGGAGAAAGGACAAGATTCGGGGAGTGATTTGCTGTGAGAATAATAAAAGAGAACAGGGGTGATACCTCTGTGGTGTCTAGCGGGGCCCTTAAAATCACAACAAAACG